GGTGGTATGGTAGTTAACCCAGCGGCGGTAGTGGGGCTGCTCAGGGCTCTCTGGGGTCCGCTCTCCGCTCCTGCTACCAATCAAACTTGGCATTTAGGATTTCAAAAGCTACTTTCCCGGTGAAAGAAAAAGACTTGATTAGTGAGCATCATTAATTCCCCTCCTGCCCCCAAATAATGGCAGTTAGTTTTAGCTAAACATTATCATGTGCCAGGCACTACTTAAGACTTCTGTAAGTATTATCATTTATGTATTTTTATTGTTCCTTCCTTCCTTATTTTTTACGTGCTTTCTTTCCTTTCGTGAGAGAAAGAGAAAGGGAAAAACATACACTCGCAGCAGGGGCTTCGCACCACAACCCACCCCTGGCCTCAGCCAGCCCAGATCTCAGGCACGTGTACATCCTGGTGCATCCAGTAGGCAGAGGTCGGTTGCCTGACTGCTGCACCGCTGTCTGGCCTCTTTATTATCTTTTAAAATCTTCTGAAAACCCCATGAGATCATTGATTTTCACAGATGGAGAAACTGAGGCAAAAACTGGTGACTATTTGGCCAGAGTCACATAACCGATCTGACTTCAGGGCCTGGGTGTTTCGCCGTTCCCTGGATAGGTGACGGAAGATGCCAGCATTCCCATGCCCAGCTCAGAGTGTGAGCAGTTGGGTGGCGATGGTTGATCGGGCCGTTGAGGCAGAAGGGGCAGAGGGAGATCCTACACAAAGCGTGGAGGCCTCTAGGTCCTGCACTGGGCCTTGGTGCTCCTCAGAGCCTCAGGGCTTGGACTCAGCCTTGGGGAGGATTTAGGGAAACTCAAGTAAAATCAATTTTGCTTCTGCCCCCTCCAGAATTGGAACTTTGTTAAGGAAATTTACTTTACTTGTCAAAAAAATGGAGATGTGGTCACTGATGGCTGAGTTTGCAGTCTGTGATTTTATATGCACAACAGCATGACCTGGTATTCTGAAAGAATCAGGGCCCTGGTTAGAACAGGAGATTTTCGTCCCAGCAGGTGGCATAATGGCTAAGGTTCTGGACTACCACATGGCCAAAACATGGTTCAAGTTCCGGACCCAGCGGGTTACAACTCATGCCAGGGAGACCAGCAGTTGTTGTAATGGCTATGTTGTTGGACTCCCATGTGGTCGACTGTGGTTCGAGTCTCAGACCCAATGGCTTGTAGTCATGCCAGGCATGTGTGTGTGTGTGCCCAGGATCCCAAGAGGAGAATGGAGGAGAAGGGATTGTGGCGTGGCCATCTCCTGTGGGGGGTGATCTCTCGCTGTCTGTCTCTCTCTCTCTCTGTCTTTCTGGCTAGTACATGTGCCCTATATAAAAAACCTCTCCAAAAAAAAAAAAAAAGAAAAGAAAAGAAACTCATGCCGGGCATGTGTATGTGCATGCCCAAAATCTAGAAAGGGGAATGGAGGAGAAGGGATTGTGATGTGGCCATACCCCCTGGGGAGTGATTTCTCTCTTTTTCTCTCTGTCTCTCTGGTGAACACATGTGTCCCATAGCAGAAATCTCTCTTTAAAAAAAAAGAATATTCGATTTTCAAGTCACACTAACCTGGGTTTGTGACCTTTGTGCGAGCCCTAATTTTTTTTTTTTTTTTTTTTAGTGGTACTCTTCTCCCCTTAGGGCACATGCGCATGCTGGAGAGAGAGACACATAGACACAATGAGAGGGAAAGTGAGAACTCACCCCCGAGGGAGATGGCCACACCACAACCCCTTCTCCATTCTCCTCCTGTTATCTTGGGCCTTCACTCAATGCACCTGGTGCAATTTTCAAGCCACTGGATCCAGGACTTGAACCACAGTCGGCCATGTGAGAGTCCAGTAACGTAACCACTATGCCATCTGC